ATTGAGAAGTATTAAGGTTTCCGGTACTATATAAAGATAGCATTCCACTAGCAACCGTATTGCTCAGCACTTGAGCAGCTAGACGAACACTCATTTTTTCAAAAGATGTGGGACTAAGATGTGCCGTTGTCAATTTAGGCGCACATCGTATACCGCGATGGGAATCCTGTTGATGAAAATGCAGAATGTCTGTCCATTTGACAGGATGTCCGCGAAAACTAACATTGTTTTTTTTACTTTGAATACAGTTTCGTGTGTCTTCAGAAGATGAGGAGAATCGTAGAAAAATACAATTTCTTCACCGTTAACTTCAAAATACGACCTATTTTCTGTAATTCCTACGATACGGGCGAAGTTAACGAAATTGGTTCCCTGGTCTGAAACAAATTGGCAGACTTTAAGACAATGCCCTGGAGTTGGCCTATAACTTCAAAAACATATTTCTTTAAAACATCCCCCTTACATGAGTTGTGAACAAAAAAGTAGGCGACTGGCTGAGACCAGCGAAGACCGCCAATGCCTTGGGCCATCATGCATAAAACACTATTAGCTGTCCTAGAGGTGCGATTTTCATCACCATAATCTTCTAAACCTACTATTAAATCCCTATTCTTATCATATTTCAAATGGATTTTTAGTGACATTTCATCACAGCATAAAGAAATGAATTTTTGCTCTCTAGTGAATCCTCGGCTTCGCAACTCCAGGGATTTGATGCTGCTAGTGAGCAGCCAGGGTTTCTTGGCCAACCTTTAATAAAGTTAGAGAGAGTTGTTGAGGAAGGCCAGTGGAAAAGGGGTCGCAAGTACCTATATGCTAACGGGGAAGTAAATCTAACTCCTAACGCTATTGTTTTCAACCCTCTGTCAAACCGCCGTCCATTTGGATGCCGGCCATCATTATTTATGCACACCTCTCACACACGCTGCGAGATGTGGAGGCATTTTACTGCATACTGCATCGATTTGACAGTTGCGAACCTGCCGCAGGACAGGTAAGCTTTGGCTTTTCAAATTTCTTATCTCCTCCTCTTTATCTAATATAACCTTTTTTAAACCTTCTATTTCAACTTTAGCTTCATCTAATTCTTCCCGATATTTTCTTTTTCTAGGAGACTCTTCACTAAGATAATCTTCAGTTTGCGTTTCTTGGTTGCGTACCCCTAATTGCGATTCATTGTGCTTGCCTAAAGAGGAACAAGTTGGATGTTCAATTGGAAAGGGTTGAAGAGTCTCCTCTAAGGGAACCTCCAATTCAATCTCATCATCGATCGAAAAGCAATGCCCTTCTACTGTTATAAAATCCTCTGAACCTAAATAAATAATTTGCTCGCTTATATCTGCCTGTCCTTCTAATCTACCTGAATCTACACCTACTGTGGGTGCATGCAAATTTAAATCAGGGATAGCACCCTTAGACAGTTTACGAAGGTTCCGATATCTCGGGGAAAAGTGCCTCTGGCATGCATACAGCTCCTTGGCTTCGGTACTTGTTGACACTCCCAGAAGCCTCATCCACTTCAAACGCCTATTAAAATAATAAATAATATTAAATAATAGGTTTTAAACTATATTGTAAATTAATATAAAATAATGAATAAGAAATTACAAAAAACGAAATGCAACAAAAAACACAAAGCCAAGATGAGGAAATAAAAAATCATGAATTTATGTACAACGAATAAAAAATGAAAGAAAATTAAACGCAATGAAAAATAAAGCCATGATGAGGGAATAAAAAATTAAAATCAAGAAAATATACCAACCAAACTTTTTTCTTTTCCTCGTTATCCTTCCTCCAAAATGCGTCGAAAATTATTTAAGAATTTCAATGGTTTTTATTATTAACTAACCAGAGAAAAAATTACAGAAAATACAACCATTTTGATCGATTATTCCTAAAGATACGAAAATACTTTCACAATTTACAAAATATATAGGAAGTAATAATGTAATTCTTAATAAATCCACGAATTCCATGTTCCGTCAAATTTCACGTTGATCACTTTACATATCCAATCAGTTAGTCAGTCGATGGCTAAAATTTAAGAAAATATATAGAAAACGTTAGGTATTATAGGGTACCGAAATATTGAAGACGCATTACATGTATGCACGCACAATTTAAATACGATAAAACTTGGAATTAAAAACTTTTAGGCTGGATATTTTCGGTTTTAGATAGGTGTCGACCTAAAGCCGAATTCCATACACAACATTAAGAGATTCCAAAACTTAATTAACCTCCAAAAGCAGAAATTACAATACTAACAGGTATCCTTATAGGACAATGCAGACTAAGCATACGTATAAGATGGCACCTTGGTCAAATGATCTATTTCGATTCTACAACCGATCAATAAGGGAGTGCTCCCATGAGAGGCATCCCGAAAGCCTCCTGTACGAGTAATAAAAGAGCTTTTCATTGCCTCACATATAAGCTAAAAGATTTTGCTATTTACGCAATCGATTTATTTAATTTTTTAATCTCATGCATGTATACAATATTAAAAGATCTTAACAGATACCTATAAGTACGAGGTCAGACAAAACATACATAAGTAATACTTATTACATTTTTGATTAATATTGGAATTCTAATTCGGGTAAATGCATTCAAAGTAAAACAGAACAATAATAAAACGGTGAGATAACTACATGATTTCCTGGTGTCAGGGATTCTTGGGTGTTCAGGAGCTCACGCAAATAGGGAGAGTGTATACAACTTTCTTGTTTTAACCACGATCAATAAGAAGGTTACTTAGCCCATCTGAAAGCTATGTCCCCCAGTAAAAGCTCTGGACCGGCATTATATGAACGTTAAAACCAGGTGGTCATACGTAAATGTTGACACAAATTTGCTAATCTGAAAAGTATTTAGCGATATATAACACAACATTTAATCAATTTAAACAGAAGTTGCAATACATACCGATGGACCTTCATTTAACTGTGTGCTATCGTCATTCAATTATTGCATCCTCCTTATATTGTTTCTATATGAAATATTTTCTGTAGTTTTCCTTATGATAAATTTTTCCAATAATACGCAATTTCTTTTGAACGAGGTGCCTATAGCTCCCCTATCAATCAAAAGGAAAACTCTAGGATTACTCTCTTAGGAGACATCGCTTTTTGCTCCTAAGCGAGTAATAACGGAGTACAAACCGACAAATTTCAGTTATCGCTCCGTAATCATGCCTCAGGGAGTATTCTTTTATTGTTCACTTGGGAGATCTCCCGTTTGGTTCCTAAACGAGTAATAAAGGAGTACAAAATCGACAAAAATCGTTTATTGCTCCAAAATCATGGCTCTGGGGGTATTCTTTTGTTGCTCACTTAGGAGATCTTCGATTTGACCCCTAAGCTAGTTATAAAGGAGGTCAGAACCAACAAATCTCCCCTATTGCTCCGAAATCAGGCCAAAAGGAGTACTCTTTTATTCCTCACATTGGGAGATCTCCCTTCAAGTTCTAGTGGGTACATACATATATATTACCACCACAATTCACATATTTGTGCATATTCCTACATTCCTTCCAACCGAAAAGCATTTGCTTGCATTACTTACATATGCATATGTACATATGTATGTATGATGTATGCATAACAAAATGCATACCCAAAACAAACGCGAAAAATATCTCCCATACAACGTGGTTGAAAAATTTTCTCGATAAGTGATCGCGAATGGATTATTTGCATCGTTTTTCCCATTTATGAGAGGCCGACATCGGCAATGCTCGGACTTCTTCGAGTGAGAGGAAATTTCTTTGCTTTTTTCGATCGCGAATGAAAAGCAGCGGAAATTTTTTTGTCGATCGCATTCCGAGTGTGAGAGATGATACATTTGTTTGCATTTTTCACTCGCTATAAAAGAATGCAAAAATTGATTTGGAATATTATCGATCGCGATTAATCTCATAAATGAATGAAAACGAATAATCATAAATGAGAATTTCCGAAACCAGGTCAGTACCGCGCCGATTCCAGTATTTTTTGGAAATGTATCGTTCGTGGAGAGGAGGGGTGAGTAAATTATGTGAAATTTGGTATTTATGACTTTTCGTTTTCCCTCTCTACGCTCAACAGTTTTTTTTTATCAACTGTCACCATGACTTTTTTCTACGTGCCTCCAAATAGTCGAAACACTGTACGGCGGTTTTATTAACATAAAAAAAAAAACATTTTAATAAATAGTGAAAATTTTGAATAAAATGTCGTCCAATTAAAAAAAACTCGTCGCTTAAAAAAACAAAATTTTAATATACAGTGTACGTCCAGTATAACTACGGTGACCATCCGTCCTGTATTACAGAGCTTCTTAAAGTGTGTTCCGCGGAATCCAAGGGTTCTGTAGGAAAGTCCGAAATAAGCACGGCGGTCGGGTTGAGATGCACACAGAGAGAAAAGTTCTATAAACAGCTTGACCCAGACGCAATTATCTATTTTCAAGTATACATATGTACTCGTAGTTGGTATGATTGCCATACTGTGCCATACCTACATAAGAGCGTTGAGCTTGCGCTTGCCAGTTTGTTTTTTTTTCTAACCGGTATGTGTTATTGGCCGCTGTAGCCAAAGGGTTACATACAACTTTCCACAAGGAATGCGGCAAACGGCAAAACTGGGCACTTGGTAAATCACCCGAAATCTTTGTGATATTATTTTTCGGATGGTAATAGTAATATCGGTTTGGTACAAAATCCATTTACGAAGCATTCATATACATATATCCAGAGTACTTCGACATTGTAACAACACACATTTGAATCTGTGTCTCTGAAAGAGTTTTGAGTTAGTGTTAAGAGTAAATATCATGAAGTCGCTAAAAAGGCGATCTTAACTTTGCTTCCTTCTGTTACAACATACTCTGTCAACAAGGGATTCAGCTTATATTTATACAAAAAACAGATTCAGGTCGAAATTGGATGCTACCCCGGAAATGCGCATACAGCTTTCAGACATTATATCGAACTACTATTTATACAATAATTACTAACAGTGAAACAATTTCATTCTTCACATTAAAATTTAAAGTACGTATATATTTCTAGTAAAAGTTTTTATTCATATTTAAATTGCTCTGCCTTTGATTTTTAGTCATTTGATGTGGGGTTCCATAAAATGAAATGTGGTTAGTAAGGGTTCCATCATCTTAAAATTTTAAGAACCCCTGTTGTATTATACGGGACAGTCCTCTTTTTTGACCAATTGACCTCGCAATTAATTTATTTTATACGGGACGCCAAATGCTCTGTATTTCTTTTAATGTCCTGTTTTACAGAAAAAACTTTCAATTCGCGTCTTCTTTTTCGCAGTTTCCAAGCTCTTCTCCACTGCGATTATTTCCAAATCCCTTAATGCCAAAAGTAACTTGATGTTAAAACAAGCTACATACATACATGTCGTAGTTTAAAGTACAAAACCGCGTATCAACAAAATGCAAAACCGAGTATGTGAGGCTGCATCAATTATTTTTTAGAAAGTAAAAACACTCATATTTCAAAATGATTCTCTTTTTTGTAAAGAAATCGTATTTCTGGCTAGGATATTTCAGGACGAATGGATGAGGATTAAGCCAAGAGCTTGTGTGAGCAAATCCAATTTTTGGCAGCCAATGTCAGTTACGCGGTTTTGCAGAATGACGATACGCGGTTTTTTACTTTAAACGACGATATGTATGTATGTAGCTTGTTTCAACATCAAGTTACTTTTGGCATTAAGGGATTTGGAAATAATCGCAGTGGAGAAGAGCTTGGAAACTGCGAAAAAGAAGACGCGAATTGAAAGTTTTTTCTGTAAAACATAAATAAATGAAATATTCGAATATTGTTTTTTCGAATATTGGTTTTCGTTGAATTGAAGACAATTAGGTGGTTCACAAGGTGTTGTAACTGTCGTGTTGTCGTATGTCGCAAAGTTTTTATCGAAATTTCATAATACGACCTTTTTGGTAGCTTGGGAATCCCTTTTGGTAGCAGTTTAAAGTTTACGACATATAACAATGCGACAGTATACAACACCTTGTGAACTCCCTAAATATGTACATACATATTCTTTTAAACTAAATGCATATATTTATTCAATTGAAAATAATCACTCGATTTAACGAATTTTTCGATATTACGAATTAGGCAAACAACATAAGATTCGTTATATTGGACGTCCACTGTGAAAACCGTCACATTCGGCGTTAATTGTGCTCCCTATCTAGCCATACGCACTCTTAACCAACTCTCTGATGATGTAAAAATAACACATCCCTGGCGGTGCCAATACTAAAAACCTAAACATATGTGGACGACATACTTTCGGGAGGTCATAACCTAATCTCAGCAACTAAATCTCTCTCCCAAGTCATTCAAGCTCAAAACTCCGCTGGCTTCCCCTTAAAGAAGATCACGGCGAACCATCCTGATTTGCTCAAAGACATAAAAAAGGAGGACTTGCTTGATAGCAACTTTCTCGAATTCGAAAAAGCAAGTACCACCAAAACCCTCAGGATTCAATGGAATTCCATCACTGACTCCTTCTCATACACCATTGAATCCATCTCAGCCTCGTCGCCGAGCACAAAGCGACAAATTCACTCTTCTGGCGCAAAACTTTTCGACCCCGCAGGATGGCTCTCGCCAATAATGATTCAAGCCAAAGTCCTCTTACAAGAGCTATGGCTCGATGGAACTGACTGGGATGAGCAAGTCAAACCCCTCCGTCTCCATAAATGGTTGAAGTTTGCGAACAATTTAGAATCTATCTCGGCCATCCAAATACCCCGATGGGTCAATTATGTTCCAGGCCAACAAGCGGAGCTACATGGATTCTGCGACGCTTCAGAAAAAGCGTATTGCGCAATCATATATGTCCGAACCACACAAGGTGAACGAGTCTCTTCTCACCTGCTAGTATCTAAAGGCAAAGTTGCGCCTCTCAGAACCAGCAGCCTACTCGCCTCGAATTATATGGTGCTCTCCTTCTAGCTAAATTGGTCTCAGCTATGCAATCGCAACTTGGTTTCTCGGATCGAAAATTGACCACGTGGTCAGATTCGGAAATCGTCCTG